CTGACTGCTATTCAATCTTATACAGTGAAAAAAGATTATTTTTTTTTTTAAATCCAAACTATTGTGACACAGGATCTAATTAGTGGCACTTGTCAGCGTATCCACTGTTAGCGTAACACACCCGCTTTAAGGACACTGACTGCTATTCAATCTATACAGTGAAAAAAAGTTTTTTGTTTTTTAAATCCAAACTATTGTGACACCAGATCTAATTAGTGGCACTTGTCAGCGTATCCACTGTTAGCGTAACACACCCGCTTTAAGGACACTGACTGCTATTCAATCTATAACAGTAAAAAAAAAAAAAGTTTTTGTTTTTAACCCAAGCTATTGTGACACCAGATCTAATTGGTGGCACTGACTGAGGAAATGGGCACAGTATGCACTGTGAGCCTGACACAGAAGCTTTTCTGGCAGCAGTGGCAGACAACTGACTGCTATTCAATCTATAACAGTGAAAAAAGTTTTTTGTTTTTAAATCCAAGCTATTGTGACACCAGATGTAATTGGTGGCACTGACTGGGGAAATGGGCACTGTGAGCCTGACACAGAAGCTGGCAGCAGTGGCAGACAACTAAGTGCATTTACATTAGATAGAAAAAATAAATCCAAAAAAAGCATACCCTTATCCCTAACCTAGCTATGCTTTTCCTATCTTATGAACAGCAGCTACACTTTCCCTCCTCTTACTAAGCATGCAGCTTGAGAATGAATCTAAAATGGATGCTGTCCAGTAGGTGGGAGGGTCTGCTAGGGAGGCTGTGCTGCTAATTGGCTGGAATGTGTCTGCTGACTGTGAGGTACAGGGTCAAAGTTTACTCAATGATGACGAATAGGGGGCGGGTCGAACCGCGCATATGTTCGCCCGCCGTGGCGAACGCGAACATGCTATGTTCGCCGGGAACCGTTCGCCAGCGAACCGTTCGGTACATCACTACCCACAACCAACATGGAGGTTGTGAGGTTGTGAGCACGTCCTGAGGAAGCCGTCCGGTGAAACGCGTTGACGTCATACAGGGGGAGGAGCCTACAGCACACAAAGTTTTTGGATGTGATCTGTCTGGAAACCGGCACTACACAGCTATACAAGATTTTGCCGAACCGGGAGAACGCCCAGCAGTGCTGCCTGCCACCCTGACATTTACACACTTTGTAGTGAGTAGATATATATTTGTCATACTCACCATCTTATCCAGTAAGGGGCTTACCACCCTTTTTCTCTATCAGTATTTATTTTTGTCTATGTATATATGTAATTTTAAACCCTGCATGTGGCAGACAAATAAATTTAATGTCATTTTTTCCTATTGAAAGCTCTCAAACCATTCACTAAAGAGATGATTCTCATTGATTATTTGCATATGTATATGTTTACATCCTTTATGCAAACGATTTGCACTATTATTGTGTTTTCTCTTTCTCTATATATATCATCATCTGTTGGAAGATTCTTCATACAAGTTTGTATACATCTTTCTGTATATAAGGGGTATTTTGCTCCACTCACTATCACACATTTCGTTTTCTTTTGGTGAATTTTGGGATTGCACCAGAGTGTGAAGCAATTTGTCCTTGTAGTAATTTAGCACCCAGATTCTTTTCTTGTCACTTTCCTGACTGACTGCTACTCCTACACCTCATACTTCACCCCTTTACCAATTCTAGCTGAGATAAAATTAGCTATTCACAGGGTGCGTGGCTGCCACGGAGCTGAATGGCTGTGCACTGATCCAGCTCTCTGACACCCAGTGATTCAATCCAACCTAATTGGAGATTTTGGAGCAGGATGGGGAACCCAGAAAAACATAATCCAACTCAGGGGACAGGAGGGAAAACCCCTGCTACAAAATTGGGCTCCTTGACCTGTTTTTTCTGCAATTCTGCGGGCCGCGAAACGAAGGCCATGGATGGCAAGATGGCTGTGACGGAAAAGCAAACCACAACTCCACTGACCAGACCAGACAAGCCCCCTCCGAGTGCTCTAATGTCTCCCAAGACACAACACAGGAGGCAGACATCAAACACTGCAAAAAAAAAACGTACCTTCCAGGGATGACTTGGCCGCAATGCTCGGGAGGCAAATAACTAACCTTTCTACTACTATGGAAAGCCAAACACACTTCCTATCCTCTTTACACCGTCACATTGATGACTTAGACAACGCAGAAACAACCTAAGAATCAGGGGTTTGCCTGAGGCCCAAGGGGAAGAAGTAGTTTCCACCCTGACTGAGCTTTTCAATTTGATTCTTGGTGAAGCCAGCGACAATCAAATCCTATTAGACAGGGCCCACAGGTCATTACACCTGGGAGGATCAGATGTGGAGGCACCCAGAGATGTGATATGTCATGATATGTCATGTACACTACTTTGCTATTAAAGATAACATCCTGAGAGCTCTGAGAGACACAGCTCAACCATTACTATTTCATGCGACCCCAATACAAATCTCCCCAGACCTGTCATGGTTCACCTTACAGGCAAGAAGGGCATTGAAACCAATCACGGAACACTTAAGGAACCACAACATACGATGGGGTTTCCCATTTGCTTTAATAGTGAACCACAAGGGCACGAGCTACTCTATAACTACCCCTCTGGATGTGGGACCCTTTCTGCGAGCGCTGGAACTTCCTGATACACAGGTCGTAGATTGGAGCAGAACACAAACCAATCAAAATCAAGATCAGGCCAGTCTTCCACAACATCAGTGCTGGAACACCCCTGCAAAGAAAAGAAGACCGGACCAAAGATTATTCTCACTCCAAAGAAAGAACCTTCCAAATCAAGGAGGGAACTGCAACCATATCGGGCAGGCCCGGACTGGCCATCGGGCATACCGGGCAAATGCCCGGTGGGCCGCGATGGCCGTGGGGCCGAGGCCGGCAGGGGAGATCACAGGATCTCCCCTGCCAGCCCGTGCAGGGCCAGCGCTACCCGAGCGCCGGCCCCGCTGTGTGCCTCCATGGGCCAGTGGGGAGATCAAAGATCTCCCTTTACCGGCCCAGAGACACTTCCAGGCGGCCGCTTGCTGGGGTTTGAGGGAGGGAGGAGAGGACCGGCGGAGCTCTATCCAGCAGCTCCGCAGGGTCCTCTCGCGGGATTCTGAGCGTTGCCGCGGTTACCGCGGCAACGCTCAGATCTCGCGAGAGTGAACTCTAGCCTACAGGCTAGAGTTCACGCTCACCACTAGGACCACCAGGGATCAGGCAGCATGGCTCTCCCATGGCAGAACGGCTCCCCCCCGTCCCAGGCAAAACGGCCCCCCCCCCCTCCCAGGCTAAAGGTAAGAAGGGAGGGGGGGGATATAACTTTTTTTTAAAATTATTATTATTAATTAAAAAAAATAAAAATAATTTAAATTTAAAAAAAATCACACTCACACACATCACCCCCAGACACACACACAGCACCCAGACACACAGCACCCCCAGACACACACATCACCCCCAGACACACACATCACCCCCAGACATACACAGCACCCAGACACACACAGCACACACAGCACCCAGACACACACAGCACCCCCAGACACACACAGTACCCAGACACACACAGCACCCCCAACACACACAGCAGACACACACAGTACCCCAGACACACACAGCACCCCAGACACACATCACCCACAGACACACACAGTACCCCCAGACACACATCACCCCCAGCAGACACACACAGCACCCCCAGACACACAGCAGACACACACAGTACCCCCAGACACACACAGCACCCCCAGACACACACAGCACCCAGCACCCCCAGACACACACAGCACCCCCAGACACACACAGCGCACTCACACACAGCACCCTCACTCACACACAGCACCCTCAGACACACAGCACCCTCGCTCACACACACATATATATATATATTTACAGATATATATATATATATAATATATAAAATAACCCTCAGTGAGTTAACAGACAAAGAAAATTAGAATGTGACGGCAGATAAAAACACCCTCACACACAGCACCCCTCTTACATACACACACACTGCGCCCCTCACACATACAATACGTCCAAATATATATATGTATGCATATATATATATATACACACACACACACACACACACACACACTACAGCACTACATACATTACGCTCCAGATACACGCTAGATCCCTTACCTTATATGCACTCTTAATCCTCTATACACACACACACAATCTCCTATACACACTCTGGGTCCTTTACACACTAGATCTCCTACACACACACTGCACCACCTACACACACACTACATTCCTTGTCAGCAAACACATACAACATTCTCTAAACACACCCTCTCTACAACCCCTACACACACTACGTCACCTATACACACACACTACAGCCCGTATGCACACACTCGCTACATCCCCTATAACACTATGCCACCTATACACACACTCTCTACAGCCCCTAGCCACACATATTACACCACAAACACATATGAAATTGACCTATTTACACAATACCACACCACACTCTACACACACGCAATCCCACAAGCAGGCTCCAAACACATGCACCATACACTTTCCTGGCCCTTTTGTCCTCTGGTATCCCACTTGTTGAGACACCAGAGACAATTTAAAAGCAAACACAGCGCAAGCATGTTATTAAATTTGCTTGCGCTGCGCAGAACAAATACAGGGCCTTTTTCTAATGCCAGAGCTCTTCAGCGCAGCTCTGCGCATTGAACCAACATGCTCACTTTGAGAGGAGGCGTGCTTGTCATTAGTGATGACAAAACACACCCTCTCTGGCCCCGCCCCCTTCTTAGGGGGCCGCTCTGATTGAAAAATGCCCGGGCCTAATTTTTTCCCCAGTCCGGCCCTGATATCGGGTATGATAAGAATCCTTCCCACCCCTCCCCCTATTTCCCCGAATTCACAGACAACTTGAAGGAACAAAACATGCCGGAAAGCACTGCCACCAGTCAGTAAGTTCACATCCCTGGAATACAAATACGAACCCTTCAAATGTAAAGAACCATGCATCACCTGAAACCCTCCACGAAAAAGCCCAGGATCTCTGAGGCATCTCCAATGAAGTCCGCCTAAAATGAGCTACCACTGTCTCATCCACATCACAAACTCTCCATTCAGTTGCAAGAAAGGTCTTTGGCCTAGAGGGACACTCCACAGAAAATGCAAACATCATATCATAGGAAGGAACAATATTGTTCTTACATGAAGTCCTCACCACTGGAATACAAATACAAATCCTTTAAATGTAAAGAACTATGCACAAAGTGAGACTCTCAATGAATTAGCCATGGCAACCTGAGTCATCTCTAACAAAGTCCAATTGCAGCAAGCTCCCTTGGTCTCTTTCGCCTCTCGAACTTTCTACTCAGCTTCAAGGAGGGTCCTCTGCCCAGATGGGAGGCTTGGACACCCCGCAGGTTGTATACAAAAATGCACACAGTATATAACAGGAAGGGACAATATTGTTGTACTCAGATGGTAAATGTCTTACATGCAGAAATGGTGCGAACGATTCTGTGATCGGGACCACTACCCACTCTCCTCCCCTCCCCCTCCCCGTACTCCCCTCCCCCATCCCCTCCTCAACCAATCACAAATCTCCTAAAACTTCAGAACTAAATCAGAGGGTTTCGCCACCTCCCAAATATATACATAGCTCGGTCTCCTGCACAGAGATCAAGACATTACATTAGAAATTTCTAAGAGATATAATCCACATTATCTCTTTAGTCCATAATTTGCATCCCTGCTAAAAGGGGACCTCGATACTTACAGATTCTGTTAATGCTGTTATTGATGAATGTACGCATATATCTACAATTTCACAGCATCTAACTTTGTATTTCATGTTTAGACCAATACCACATAGCACCAAAAGTAACGATCGTACGTGACCATGCTCACTGTCTGATCTTATTGCTAACTTTCATATTGTATCTATTTGTTTTATTTCTTAAGTGAACTGTATATAAGTTAACCTTGTATACCTGTCAGCGATTCTTACTCTATAGAGCTCAGAGTGCCCTTCCCTTGAGGACACAAGGAAAGTACTACATAGATACGCAGACTTAGCTGGGGAGACTAACCAATAAATAACACCCTACCCCCGTGCCAACCACACACCCGACACTATGACCTCACTTCGTATACACACGCATAATGCGAGAGGGCTAAATGCCCATGAAAAACGATCCATGGCACTAGCAGACTTTCAAAGACAAAAAGCGGAAATCGTTTTCATTCAAGAGACACACTTTCGTAAGGACTCTGCCCCGACATTACGTAACCATAGATACCCAACAGGTTATTTTAACAATTACACGGAGAGTAAATGCAGAGGAGTAGCGATACTAGTAAGTAGCCAGGTACCCTTCAAATACCGAGATCAGCAAGCTGATGAATCGGGAAGGTTCACATTCGTTTAAAGGAGACGTAAGACACATTCGGGTGACCTTAGCTAATATATACTTACCAAATAAAAAACAAAACTCAAGCCCTCATAAAAATCCTCCTCAAATTAACTACATTCCAAGAGGGAATACTCATACTGGGATGGGGCCTAAACAGGTGACACCTTATCTAACTCGACTGACTACCTAACACAATCCAGAAGGTACATGTGGAACATCCTCCAAGATACGCAACTTTACGATGGCTGAAGAGCACTCCATCCAACACAAAAAGATTTCTAATTTTTCTCCCCCCCTTCTGGTACCTACTCGCGTTTAGACATTCTCTTTCTCCAACACAGACACCTTCCCCTACTCAAAGCAGCCAAATATGGGTCGATTGCATGGTCAGACCATGTACCGCTCTCCCTGGACATAGTCATACCATCCCTACCCATCGTATCTCCTCAGTGGAAACTAAACTACCTACTACTAAATAATTCAGAAGTCATCACAAGACTTCAAGAGACTGTTCAAACATATTTCAAACAGCTGCCATTTACCAAATTAAAATGGAGATGGGCATTTGCAAAAAATCATATGATGTGTATAAAAAATCATTGGAAGAGGTTGAGAAATTATAAGTTAAAAATACCCTCCTATGACGTTAAGCGGCAAACTTTTCATCTTGTGTTTTCATCTTTGAATATTACTGGGCCAACCCTCTTTTCCACCTCCCCCTTCCCGCGGGGAACTTAGATCTGTCTTTTTTTTGTGCTGTTTTTGTTTTTGTTTTTTTTGTGCTGTTTTTTTTTGTTTGGTCAGGGATGTATTTACCACAAGGCAAACAAGGCATTTGCCTAGGGTGGCACTCAAGAGGGGGCACCAAAAAATGCCACCCAAGCTCCCAGACAAATGCCTTGTTTGCCTTGTGTTCTGGGGCTGTCCACCTTACTGTGAGTGAGTGAGTGTAGCTGTCAGCGTGTGTCTTTGAGTGAGAATGGGTGTGCCTGTGAGTGTGTGTCAGTGTGTGTATATCATTTTAGGTGTATCTTTAGGTGTATCATTTTAGGTGTATCTGAGAGTGGTTGCCTGTCAGTGAGTGGGGTGTGTCAGTGGGTGTCTGTCAGTGAAAGTGTGTGTGTTGGTTAAATAGTGTGTGTCAATGACTGTATGTATGTGCCAATGACTGTGTATCTGTCAGTGAGTGTATATCAGTGCATGTATCAATGAGGGCATGTCTGTCAGTCAAAAAAATTGCCTTGACACGAATTGGGGGGGAAAATTTCGATTTTGAGGGTGCCCAAATTTAGTCGTGCCTAGGGCAGCACAAATCCAAAATACACCACTGCATTTGGTGATGTCTTATATCAGTATCCTCAAGAAATAAGATTCTTAGTCAAAGGGTGAATATCCTAAAGAACACCAGTATAACTATTACAAAGAGCGAATGTTACTACTAATGGAGTGCATAAGAGAAGCCGTATTAAGATAAATTGGGTACAAACATAATACGTGTCTTCGAGGGCACCTATTATAGGAATCTTAATGTATAAAAGGAACAACACTTACTATATCCTAAATAACCTGAGAGAAACTGTCTTGTCAATAAACCCTAAATCTGTGTCATCGAGGGCATCTAAATCGCTGCAATACAGTGAATTTAGGATGGTTGCACTGATATCTATACACTCCACATTAAACTATCTACACATTTACCTACTAACCTCAATACCTATACAGTATTAAATAAGCTGAAAAAATAAATCAGTGAAGATCGGGACCTTTTTTCCCTGGTTTAAGGTTTATTTAGTATTTTAATTACATACAATAAATGTTATGTTTTAATTATAAGAGTGTTACAAATCAGGACAGTTCACGTCTCTCCTTCACTTTCATTGCAATCTTCCCTCTTTCTACTCTCCCTATACAACCAATCATTCTGCTAGTATTTCCTGCTGCTCTATTACACTGTATGCCTACCTCTAAGTTATATAAAATAACTACCCCTAAATCCCTTTCCTCAGATGTTAAGGTTAGGACTCTATCAAATATTCTATACTATGTCCTTGGGTTTTTAACTCCAAGATACATTATCTTGCACTTATCCACATTAAACATCAGTTGCCACAACTCTGACCATTTTTCTAGTTTACCTAAATCATTTGCCATTTGGCTTATCCCTCCAGGAACATCAACCATGTTACATATCTTTGTATCATCAGCAAAAAGACATACCTTACCATCAAGACCTTCTGCAATATCACTAATAAAAATATTAAAGAGACCTTGCTTCAAATATACTTCATTGACTACAACCCTCTGTTGCCTGTCATTCAGCTACTGCCTAACTAATTTAACAATATTGAAATCCATACTTAAAGATTGCAGTTTTCTGATAAGTCTTCTATGTGCGACAATGTCAAAAGCCTTACTGAAATATTGGTAGGCAATGTCTACTGCACCACCCTCATCTATTATTTAAGTTACACAATCATAAAAATCAATAAGATTAGTTTGGCATGACCTCCCTGAAGTAAACCCATGTTGTCTCTGATCTTGAAATCTGTGTGATTTTAGATGTTCAACAATCCTATCTTTTAAATGGTTTCCATTACTTTCCCACTACTGAATTAAGGCTTACTGGCCAATAGTTGCCCGACTCCTCCCCACTACCTTTCTCGTGAATAGTCACAACATTACAATCACAATAATTTCCAATCTTCTGGGACTACCCCCATTAACAATGATTGAGACTAAGCTCTTTTAATAACTTTGGGTGTATTCCATCAGGCCCCATTGACCTATTTATCTGTACTTTTGACAGTTGAAATAAAACCTCTTCCTCTGTACACTCACAAGTAACAAATGACTCATTTGTCCCCTTTCCTTACTGAGCACACCCTCTAACTCAATAAGATTAAATACATGTATGTATCTAAGGGAAAGAGCTGACTTTCACACCATGATGTAGATATCAACAGTTGCATCATCACGTGAACAAATTGCTCTTACACTCCCTGGTGAATAGCTGCCCTGATTAATGATGAAGGTGTTAATCACATAAAACTAAAACTAAGCAAATAGACCTTGCTGACTTATGGGAACAGTGTCTTTCTCCTCCTTCCTTAAAGGGACACTCTTGTCACTTCATCTCACATTTATAGTGCCTCAAATCCACGTGCACTGTCCTCCATTCACTGTTCACTGGTGGCAGGGTTAAAAGCTTAGCCATTACAATTCATACCAGCGATGGGCGGCTATGATAGGTTGAGGGTGATCAGCTGACACTTGCAGCCAATCACTGCTTGTGCTAATGCAAAAGCATTAACCTGAGCGGCACAGAAGGGAAACAGGCTCCTGGAACTTTAAAACGGCACATGGGGGCTCCAGGAACTCTTTTGTGCAATACATCACCTATAAGTCTGGCAAAGCATCAGGGACAATGCCAAGGGTTGCCTATCCCTGGCTTGCTGTATTCCTTTGAAATTGTGAGTCTTGAAATGTATGTTTTACTGGTCATACTGAAAGAATCAGAAATCCCCAGTCAACGGCACCTGGGGTCATAGAGAAGCAAACTAGGATGGAAAAAAGATTGTCATTTTATAATGGTGCAGTTATTATTTTACATTTTAACAAATGATAACACATAGTTTAGTTATGATAGCTTATTTGTACACTTACAAATAATTTATTTTGTTCCATTTAGATTGATAAAAAGATTGTAAGAACAGAAATCGGAGTATTACTTCGTCTCTCACATCCAAATATTGTAAGTAAGAATGCTCATAATTTAAGCCAAATTTTTTACTATTATGCAGTTTGATGTATGGTTTCTTGTGTATTCTTACTCAGTGAAGCAAAGTTTAATAAATGTAATCTTGTTCTATAAGCCATATCGAAATGCCAGAAGCCAGTATAAATCCCAACATAGAACTTCCTTGATTCGTATTTTCATGACACCCGAGTCACAGATACTCTTTTACCTGCTTAGCCCAAACCTCACATTTTGCATCAATTATTCACTATTATTCATCACTATTAAATGCACATTGGCAAGTTACACAGCAACATCTCAGATCATCAACACTCCCAGATTAAACTACATAAAACAGTTCCATCATGTTTTTACAGCTCCTTGACACCTATAATGTGCAATATGATTGGTCATATTTATTTACTAAAGTAAGAATTATAGGTAATGTGACGGTGCTCCCTGTACCCCGGCTGGGTACCTCTGCTGCTTCCCAGCCGCTTGCAGGGACCCTGGAACAATTCTGCCCCAATCGCCACAGCTTGACTAAGGTCCTTCTGGAGCTTTTGCACCCAATCAGGCAGCAGCTCTCATTCCAGGCAGGTATCGTCCCCTATGTCTATTCCATTGAAGCTCTCCTTACAGTGACTATAGTTTTTCTTTTTACAAAGGCAATTGCAGCTCCCAGGCTGAGCTCTCTTCATTTATCCCAGGGCTAGATGGATCCTGCAACCAGCAAACAGGTCCGAAGACTCTGTCACTAGGATCCCTAAAAATTCACACAGGACATAAATTCTAAAAGGAACTGAAAACAAAACTTAATTTTTCTCGGGACTAGCCCATAGACTAATAGACATGTAGATTGATGCTGCAGCAACTAAAGAAAGTTAATATAAACAAAGCTCCAGGGCCTGACGGTATCCATCCACGTGTACTTAAGGAACTAAGTGCAGAAATAAGTGAACCTCTGTTTTTAATCTTTCAAGATTCTTTTCTTTCAGGAAGTGTTCCGGAGGATTGGAGGAAGGCAGATGTGGTTCCTATATTCAAAAAGGGTTCAAAATCCTTGCCTGGAAATTATAGACCTGTGAGCTTAACTTCTGTGGCTGGTAAAATATTTGAAAGGTTATTAAGGGATAATATTCAAGAATTCCTTGAGAAGAACATGGTTATCAGCAAAAATCAGCATGGTTTTATGAAGCAGAGGTCATGTCAAACTAACTTGATTGCGTTCTACGAAGAAGTAAGTAGAAGTATAGATCAGGGTGTTGCCGTGGATGTGATCTATTTGGATTTTGCCAAGGCATTTGATACAGTTCAACACAATAGATTAGTGTTCAAACTCAAGGAAATCGGTCTAGATGAAAATGCTTGTTCTTGGGTAGAACATTGGCTTAAAAACAGAGTACAAAGAGTTGTCATTAATGGTAAATTTTCAAGCTGGACAGAGGTGGCAAGTGATGTCCCTCAGGGGTCTGTTCTGGGACCCCTTCTATTTAACATGTTTATAAATGATCTTGAAGACCACATTGAAAGTCATGTTTCAGTGTTTGCAGATGACACCAAACTTTGTATACAATGTGAGCAAGATATTACTTTGCTGCAGAGGGATTTAGATAGACTGGGGGACTGGGCACTCAAATGGCAGATGAAATTTAATGTTGAAAAATGCAAAGTTATGCACTTCAGCGTAAAGAATACACAAGCAACGTATACCCTTAATGGAAGCGAATTAGGGATAACAACACATGAAAAGGACTTGGGAATTGTTATAGACAACAAACTATGCAACAATGTGCAATGTCAATCAGCAGTGGCCAAGGCCAGTAAGGTATTGTCATGCATGAAAAAGGGCATTCATTCTCGGGACAAGAATATAATTTTGCCTCTTTATAAATCACTGGTAAGACCCCATATTGAATATGCTGTGCAATTTTGGGCACCTGTTCTAAAGAAGGATATTATGGCACTAGAAAAAGTGCAGAGGCGGGCTACAAAATTAATAAAAGGAATGGAACATATCAGCTATGAAGAAAGGTTAACAAATTTAAACCTATTTAGTTTAGAAAAACGTCGCCTGAGAGGGGATATGATAACATTATACAAATATATTCGGGGCCAATACAAACCATTGTGTGGAAATCTATTCACAAACCGGACTTTACATAGGACACGAGGCCATGCATTTAGACTGGAAGAAAGAAGATTTCGTCTAAGGCAAAGGAAAGGTTTTTTTACTGTAAGAACAATCAGGATGTGGAATTCTCTGCCTGAAGAAGTGGTTTTATCAGAGTCCATACAGATGTTCAAACGGCTACTAGATGCATACATGCAAGAACAGAATATTCAAGGATATAATCTTTCAATGTAGGGTAATAAGTGCTTGATCCAAGGATAAATCTGACTGCCATTCTGGGGTCAAGAAGGAATTTTTTTCCTAGCTTGTTGCAAAATTGTGCTTCAAACTGGGTTTTTTGGCCTTCTTTTGGATCAACGGCAAAAAACAAATGTGAGGTAGGCTGAACTTGATGGACGCAAGTCTCTTTTCAGCTATGTAACTATGTAACTATGTAACTATGTGGCAACCTAAATAAAATACAAATAACCAAATCATAGCAGACAACATACAACAACGTATTATAACACAATTACATATTTATAAGAGGGTGGGGAAGATAATAATTAAAACAAAATATCTCTCCTGTCTGCAGAATTAGTAATATGCAAATCTACCAGAATATGCAAATTGACAAACCTTGCTATTTATGTAGTGCATGTAGCTGTTGCTGCTACCAACAGACGGCACTATACAGCCTCCATAGCCAAATCCCTCTAGTCTTTAGTAAGCATTAGTGATGTCCCGAACATGTTCGTGTTCGCCACGGATGGCGAACAAATGCGCGGTTCGGTCCGCCCCTAAACACAAATTGGGGGGGGGACCTAATGTCCTCCCCCCTGGCCCCCACCACTGAGCGGCGGGTGTGGGCCTAAACAAAAATAAAGGGGGGGGACCTAATGTCCTCTCCCCTGGCCCCCACGCTGAGCGGCGGGTGGGGGCCCTAAAAAAATGTCACCCCCTCCCCCCCCCAAAATAAAGTATCCCCCTATCTACCCCCTCCCCACCCTAAAAATAATGAGGGGGGACCTTTAATTAAGTACTGGTAAAAAAAAAAAAAAACTTATGTTTTCTTTCTTCTAAAATCTGCTTTTTTCAGCCCCAAAAAAGGCCAAATAAAAAACCATAATAAACGAGCGCAAAAAAAAAAAATCCATCTTCACCCATGGAGGGCTCCACGCAGACTGAGCTCTGCAGGGCGGGGGAAGGCTTATAAAGCCTTGCCCCGCCCTGCAATTAGGCTCAGAGCACTCTGATTGGTGGATTTCAAACCACCAATCAGAGTGCTCTGATGAAAAGAGACGACAGGTCTCTACATTTACCTCTGCAGCACTAAATTCCAGATTTGAAGTTTTGAAATCCAATAGCCAATCAAGAGTGCTCTGTCATTAGACAAGCGTGGGAAAGTTCTTTGGAATTTTCCCACGCTGTGTAATTTGCGATATAGCACTCTGATTGGTTATAGCAATCCAGCCAATCAGAGTGCTCTGTGTCATTTTAGACAGCGTGGGAAAATTCCAAAGAACTTTCCCACACTGTGTAAAATGACACAGAGCACTCTGATTGGTGGATTTCAAACCAACCAATCAGAGTGCTATGACAGGTAAATGTAAAGACTTACCTGTCAATCTCTTCATTTACCGGGAGGGGGCATTTTTTTTAGGGCCACCTGCCGCTCAGGGGTGGGGGCCAGGGGGGAGGACATTAGGTTCTCCCCCCCTTATTTTTGTTTAGGGCCCCCACCCGCCGCTCAGGGATGGGGGCCGGGGGGGAGGACATTAGGCGTCCCCCCCCTTATTTTTGTTTAGGGCTCCCATCCGCCGCTCAGGGGTGGGGTCGGGGGGGAGGACATTAGGTTCCCACCCCTTTATTTTTGTTTAGGGCCCCCACCTGCCGCTCAGGGTGGAGGCCAGGTGGGGAGGACATTAGGTCCCCCCCCCATATTTTTGTTTAGGGCCCCCACCCGCCGCTCAGGGGTGGGGGCCGGGGGGAGGACATTAGTTCCCCCCCTCCAATTTGTGTTTAGGGCCCCCACCCGCCACTCAGGGGTGGGGGCCATGGGGGAGGACATTAGGTCCCCCCCCCTTATTTTTGTTTAGGGCCCCCATCCGCCGCTCAGGGGTGGGGTCGGGGGGGAGGACATTAGGTTCCCACCCCTTTATTTTTGTTTAGGGCCCCCACCTGCCGCTCAGGGTGGAGGCCAGGTGGGGAGGACATTAGGTCCCCCCCCCATATTTTTGTTTAGGGCCCCCACCCGCCGCTCAGGGGTGGGGGCCGGTGGGGAGGACATTAGTTCCCCCCCCTCCAATTTGTGTTTAGGTCCCCCCCCTTTTTAGTATTTAGGGCCCCCACCGCAGTTTTTTGTGGAAGTTCGCGTTCGCCGTTCGCGAACCGAAAATTTTATGTTCGCGACATCACTAGTAAGCATCAGCAGGGCAGGAGAGCACACAAACAATTAACAATAAATACATAATACACATACATTACACATACCCTGCACCTACAATTGGCACAGGGTGACTTAAACATAGGAATCATCCAGGGATGTAATTGAAGTGTCCATTTTATGTTCCCAGTGATGGTGACTACCGTCACGGGTAATAACTAAATCATTAACTAATTAGTAACTCTGCACTCACTATAATTTCTTCAGCAGGATTTAAGTAGTCAAAAGTGAAACTCTATTATTGCTGTGGCAGGAATCCGGTAGTTACATAGCTTTTCTAATATCGGAGGGAATATAACATTTTCCCATTTGTAAGAACTGAGATTTATTTTTATTTTTTTTTGCTTGTCAAGAGATGCCCAAAGCTTGAGACTAAAAAATATTTGGTGACCCCCTTTCTAAAGACAGACATACAAACACACATATACAGACAGGTGCACACAAGCACAGACAGATAGAGGCAGGGATAGACAGACACACAGAGAGATACACACAGACACACACAAACACCGATACAGACAGGTACATACAGACAAAGACATGTACATTTACTTTCCATTATTTCTGCATTGGACACCCATGAGAAATTATTTTTAGAAAGTGCTGTTAAGCTTCTTTAGAAATGTGTCTGCTCTAACAACCATAAGAGTTTTATTTAAGCATTGTTATATCTATTTCAGATTAAGCTGAAGGATATATTTGAAACACCTTTAGAAATTGCATTAATTCTTGAACTAGTGACTGGAGGGGAATTATTTGACAGGTAAATATTAATTTTGAAGGTATTAAATATGAGATAACACATGTTGGTAATTATTGTTGTTTTTTTATTCATAATGAAGCATTCT